GATCTCAAAAAACGATCTCAAGCTGATGACGCTGCTGTGAGAGGTTTGGCACGACATGCACCGTCACCGTCTCAGTCTGGTGCAGTTAAAATAATTATAATTTCTTCATTAAATAACTTATAAAGTAATTTGAAAACCTTGTGTGAGACGTAAGTTCACAAACAGCATGAGTGAATCATCGCGTGCGCTCTCTCTTTCTCTCTCAAAATACGCAAATGGCTTCAAATCACCACATAGCATCTATCTATAATGGTGCGTTTCCACTGGCATGTAGCGAGCGCAGCGGAGCGAGCGTTTTCAATTAATTCCTATGGAAGTTGAGCTTAAACGCTCTCGCGGTATATTATGGGATTGAAAGCGGCACGGAGAAAGCATTGACAGCGGCTGAGAGCATCAAAAAGATTGGGCATTGCTTGACTTTATGCAAATGTCGAGCGAAAAACGCTGGGCGACAACCAATCGCTGTGAAAGGAAGAAGATGAAACGTAAACAGGTTGTTTTTCAGAGGCGTGCTCTGCCCTAAATTTGACACGCCCCAAAGCAGTGGCGTTGTAGCGTTGCCAGCGGCACTGAGCGCAGATTTGACGCTGTAGTGGAAACGCACCGTAAGCGAGCTGCACGCTGCACAGTTGACACAGGAATTGTCACTTGCACAATTGAGGCAGTGTCACATCATCACTAAAGTTTATAAATTGCATTACTTTTTAATGCAGTGCAGAGATCGTATCCACACCGAGTCTATCAGTACGTTTATATGCGATCTCAAGCTGATGACGCTGCTGTGAGAGGTTTGGCACGACATGCACCGTCACCGTCTCAGTCTGGTGCAGTTAAAATAATTATAATTTCTTCATTAAATAACTTATAAAGTAATTTGAAAACCTTGTGTGAGACGTAAGTTCACAAACAGCATGAGTGAATCATCGCGTGCGCTCTCTCTTTCTCTCTCAAAATACGCAAATGGCTTCAAATCACCACATAGCATCTATCTATAATGGTGCGTTTCCACTGGCATGTAGCGAGCGCAGCGGAGCGAGCGTTTTCAATTAATTCCTATGGAAGTTGAGCTTAAACGCTCTCGCGGTATATTATGGGATTGAAAGCGGCACGGAGAAAGCATTGACAGCGGCTGAGAGCATCAAAAAGATTGGGCATTGCTTGACTTTATGCAAATGTCGAGCGAAAAACGCTGGGCGACAACCAATCGCTGTGAAAGGAAGAAGATGAAACGTAAACAGGTTGTTTTTCAGAGGCGTGCTCTGCCCTAAATTTGACACGCCCCAAAGCAGTGGCGTTGTAGCGTTGCCAGGGGCACTGAGCGCAGATTTGACGCTGTAGTGGAAACGCACCGTAAGCGAGCTGCACGCTGCACAGTTGACACAGGAATTGTCACTTGCACAATTGAGGCAGTGTCACATCATCACTAAAGTTTATAAATTGCATTACTTTTTAATGCAGTGCAGAGATCGTATCCACACCGAGTCTATCAGTACGTTTATATGGACAACAATACTCCGATTTGAATACGATTAAGACAATACTCTGATTAAGAATCTACCATGTAAACAGAGATTTTTGATTACCTTAATCCAGCTAAAGTCATAATCGAAGTAAACACTAATCGAATTAAGACATGTGGAGTATTCCTACTTTAGCTGCATTACTGAAGTGCAGTATAGACATGTAAACACCTTAATCACA